CCTGTCAATGGTGGCACTCAGTCACCTCGCACCGCTGAGCCGGTTATCAAGGTTCAACCACCGCGTCGAGAGGATCTTCAGCCTAGCTATGCGAGGGTTATCCAGCCTGATGATGCTGATGCTGACACAAACGGCTGGTACGGTGGCATGGTATGTTTACCTTAAATCCATATCCCATGCGCCACTCTAACATCCATCTAGATCAACACCCTAGGAGGCTGCATCGGTACCCTCGGAGCCATCCCCTGCTGCATCGTCTGCCCCAACCCCTACAAGCCCGTCAACCAAGGAAACGTAGGTCTCGTCACAAAGTTCGGGCGCTTCGCCCGCGCCGTCGACCCCGGTCTCGTCTACGTAAACCCACTATCCGAGCAACTCGTCCAAGTCGACATCAAGATCCAGATCGTCGAAGTCCCCAAGCAGGTCTGCATGACCAAGGACAACGTCTCCCTTCAGTTGACATCAGTCATCTACTACCGCATCACCTCGCCCCACAAGGCCGCTTTCTCCATCTCCAACATCCGCCAGGCGCTTGTGGAGCGTACGCAGACGACTCTTCGCCATGTTGTCGGTGCGCGTGTGCTGCAGGATGTGATTGAGCGTCGTGAGGAGATTGCTCAGTCTATTCGCGAGATTATCGAAGAGACGGCTCTTGGTTGGGGTGTCGAGGTTGAGTCTATGCTCGTCAAGGATATCATCTTCAGCCAGGATCTGCAGGATTCGCTCTCTATGGCTGCGCAGAGCAAGCGTACCGGAGAAGCCAAGGTCATTGCTGCGAGGGCTGAAGTTGAGGCTGCCAAGCTTATGCGTCAAGCCGCCGACATTCTCAGCAGCGCTCCAGCTATGCAGATCAGATACCTGGAAGCCATGCAAGCTATGGCGAAGTCAGCTAACTCAAAAGTTATTTTTCTTCCGGTTTGTGGGCCCTCTGTACGAACTGTATGCGAGACAAGTACTGACAGTCATTGTTAGGCTCAGAATCAGACTGTTCAAAGCGCTCTCGCGCAAGCCGACTCCGTTGGCGAAGGACCCAGCTCTCACGGCGCCAGCCCAATGGGCGTGCAGAGCTCAGCAGCACAGGAATACGGTGGCAACAGCCACGGCTTCCAGAGCGCTATCAACTCGCATGTCATTGAGAACATGTAAAGAACTGGCTTAACAACTAAGCTCTCATTCTTCTCTGTATTCATGTTGCTTTTTGGTCTTTTTGGTTTGGTAAGCGATGACTACGGATGAATGGGAAGAGGCAGACTGATAAGAGTTTGATGATGGACTTGGGCATTTTGGTTTTCGCGTTTCTTGATACCCTATTCCGGCAGCAGTATTATCGGTTCACTCGCTACTTGTTCTGATAGACACTTTTACGATAATGATAATGCCTGATTATACTCAACGAACTTAGTCTCATTAGCGGTGGATAAAAAATTTTGCTCGATACTGATCTGCTGAGATAGAGAATGCCGCATACGAGGAGGACTGGGAGGTCGAGTAAAAGATTTGGCGTGCCTGGGAGATATACATATCATTTGGCGAGGATAACAGTAGAGTATACGGACTAACGTATTCGTTACACTGGACTATCCCTCTATCTATCGGTCCCCGAAAAACTCATCGTCGTCATCAACCCCCACGATGCCTTCCTCGACAGTCACCGCCAAACGACTGAAGCATGGCTCGCGCTGCGTGACCTCATCGGCGCCAACACAAAAACATGTTAGCGCCAGCCACCAAGCATATATAACCTCTGCCTTCTGACCTTTTCTCCTCTTCTCGACACCCTCAAATGCATGAGTGACTCTCCAAAAAGAGTTGTTCGTTCGTAAATGACCTTTGGAAAGTGAAGTGGTTGGCGATGACATGAACGTTTTGCGCCAAAAACAAGTTGGCTTGTGGCCATGTGGCGGACACGATATGACTTTGAGTGATTCGAAAACAACACTCTAAAGGCATGTCGAGTCCAAAAGTGAAGTTTCATGTGTTCATCCATCTACTTCAGCGTACTGTACTTCTCCTCGACTCTTTCCAAACCATCCATTTACCAGGTTATGCCACCTTGTATACTCCAAAACGTCCAAGCTTACATGCCATGGTCGCTCACAAACGAACAATGCTTGGCTCCAACAGATGCTTTGATACAAAGGAAATTTGGAATTTAAAAATGGAATAGTAATAGTAGAAGCTCCAGCTCCCGCAAAATGATCAACAAGAATGGATGGAAGAATAACAGGGTGTCTGACCAGAAACACAGACTTATGAAGGGAGAACACTCTTGTCGGTCGTTCCATTCCCGTTCCCGAGTATTGGTCGGGCCTCCTTCTGTTGTGGTTCGCCATAAGCCCACTTCGTCGCTGCGTTGACGATGTTTGCGCATACTGGGTCGACGTGCTTGACCCATAATGCCGCGGTTCGGTACAGGATGTAGTAAAAGACCGCAATGGCAATAAGAATGTGTGTTGTTGATCCACGCTGAAGGTCCTGTTGCTCGCCCTTCTCGTTCCTCGGCGGGTTCATGGCGGAAGGTAGGTAGATCATCCAGGTAAGCACAGACTTGATAAAAGTGTTGTGCAGCAGATATACAGGGAAACTGACGCGACCGAGGAAATTGAAGACAGGCGACATAAGGAGTTTGCGTGCGTTCCTCGAAAAGAAGATGCCCAGCAAGACAAACGCGGCTCCCAGATGGTCCCAGTATCTTCGAATATCCGTCTTATCGGCGGTTAGGCTGTGCATGATGGTGGCCATTGTGTGCGACCAGCGTGTGTTCTGGGCCGAGTCCTGGGGAAATCCAGCCATGAACATGCCGCATATTATCATGATGGCGGGGATGGGGGCGGGTAGGACGGAGGTGGCGGCATCTTTGTAGTGGTTGTGCAACTCGGCTACAAACATGCCCGTAACGATGTTGAGACCCTTGATGGAGCCAACTGTGAGGTCTGCTCTAGTTAGCGATTGCCCAATTCGTTTGCTGGTCGGACTATACATACCTTTGCCGACTTGCCAGAAATACATGTACATGATGCCGTAGATGATGAACCGCGCTTTCGGTCGCACCAAAACCGTCGCAAGCATGGTTGTATAGACCATAAATGCGCCTTCCAAGAACATATGCAGTGTCCACTGTGTGCCATCGTACTCGTCCCAGCCGGTTGTCCATGTCTCTGTTTGCGCCCTGAACAGCGACTTGAAAGCCATCCACAGCGTAGGCTCCTGTCGGTGCCAACCCTGCCGTATCCACTGCGCATCGACGTGCTTCGTCATATGGTATGCGTTCGTATTCGCCATGAACCAGGTAACGATGGTCGCCGCCATGGTGGGGAGAATCAGCCGTCCTGAGCGCGCGAGCGCACTTCGTGCAATGCCGTGGAAGGCAGCATCGTGATTTCCCTGACGCGACTTGCTAATCGGCCCAATCGAATTGACATATCCAGTTACGAGGAAGAAGAGGGCTACGGCGCTACGACCTCCGACGGCGAGGCGGAAGAAGGGGAGTTGGAAGAGGTGCGGCGCGGATTTTGCGTCTGCGGCGGGCTGGTGTAGCCATGGTACAAACGCAGTACATAGGTGACCGCATACGACCATAAAGGATGCTATGCCTCGGAGGCCCTATAGCACACTGTTAGCCCCAGTTACACGACTGTGCTTGTGACGGCGGGTACGACTTACATCTATCCAGTTGGCGTCGCGAGGAGGCATGGTGAGAGAATGTAGCGTGCAAAGCCAAAAGAAAGTCTACTATTCAAGGAAGGTGAGGATTTAAGAACTATGGTATGTGCTCAGGCGCATTGCCGTGGCTTCGAGACTTGCTGATGCGTGCCCAGGTGGCTTGGAAGTTCCGCTGGTGCCGAATTCCGGGTACCAAGAAGGCGAAGAACAACGGCGCTCGTAATGATGGAATCGCTGCCGCAAAGATCAAGACGGTCGGCAAGAGGGGAGCAGAGGTCAAAAGGAAGTGTGAGTGTAAACCAGCGGTTTGGCCTTGCGAAGCCAATGCACCCTGGCCCTGCCGGTGGGGGCTACATCTTTTCAGGAACGCGCACCCTGCAGTAGACGCGGCTCACTGGGCAGATGCTGGACAGTTGGATAATGCCAAGAGAGGCTATCGGGAAGGTCACTTTAGCACTCTCCTTTGGCACGCCATCAGTGGTTTGCGGGCGCGGCAAAAACCCCAGGTAATGCTTGAACTTGATGGCAAGACTCTGCCACAGATCACCCCTGAGCCGCAATGAGGTTGGTGCTCATGTCGCGTGCCCGGGCAGATGAAGCGTGGAGCATGAAGATTGAGGGAAACGGCATCCCGCGCTAACAAGCTGCACCTGTGGCCTTTACAACTCCATCGCGTAGCGCTCTCCTGACGATGGTCCCTATATCTGGAACTCTCCGCTGGCGGATGTAACACAGCCATTGCGGCTGCACTTAGCCATGATCGTCCGGAACCGTTCCTTACTACAAGACCAAATTTAACGCACAGTTACGAACCACGAGACCACCACGAAGAGCTCCGCAGACCAACTACCCGCGTATTCGGCTCACGATAGCGGTACCACTGCTCATCGGCGCATGGAGGCGTAAGCTAGTGCGACGCCTCGTAGAATCAAGCACACGGAAGAACGTTTCGCTGTCTTGGCGGGCTGACGTGGAGGGCCGCTTTAACCGAGACTGCAACCCCTGAGCCAAGTTAGGGGTCGCTGCAACGCATCGTCATTTGCCAGAGCGTCCGTCTCCGATAGAGTGCCGTTTCACACCTGAGCGGTAACAATGTCTTGCGTGTCTTGACAATCGCGCGGCAAACTTGCCAAGGCCTCACCGCGCGTGCAGCTGGGTATACAGAAAGAACACGTCTTGCTACCCAGATGAATCTCTCCCTGTGTTCGCGCCCTTCTCGCGATAATCCGATTGCATTCTCGTAAAATTGCAGGGCTACTTGGAAGAACGTATTTCCACTGTCACGATAAGTCAACTAATCATGAGTCAAAATTTGAGATACGCCTTCGACGCCTCTGTCATTGCACTCCACCCGCCTTGCCCATCGTAGCGTGTGGCAACTGCTCGAAGCCACCACCGAGGACCGCAGGCAGCGTGCTTGCCGTACCTGGCGCTATCCTCGCCCACGATACCCCAATCGAGAAGCCGGACGCGTGCTCAGGAGCGATGACATTGTCATTGGCCTGACACAAGTTGGTTAGCAAATATCGGCATGCATGGCTGTTTGTCGGATCGAAGAGCCTTACATCAACAAGCAACCAATGTAGCTTCTCCTGCAGATATGTTCCAACAACATTCTCATCCATACTGCGCAGTTCACCCATGCGCATCCGGTCTTCTAGCGCTACGGTCAATGCAACTACGCCATTCGTCTGCATCTCGGTCTTCGCCTGGCCAACCGCGTTCTGGAAACCTGCATATCCAACGAACCCAGGCTCTGACATCCATGCCTGAGTATTCGCAGGTCCGGCGTTGATTTTCATATTTGCGTCCAAGAAGACGAGGACCTTGGAAACACCTCCAGGTCCCATATGTTGTGCGCGTATGACGGCTGAGTACTGGTACCGGACATCGCTGCTCTGCAGACCGGCGACATGTTGTTCGGCGCGTGCGGTCTCCCACGAGAACCGTGACGTTGCATTCCCCCCGTACAGTGCGTTCACTCTACCAACCAGAGTGTCGGTTGCGGAGAGCCCGAGAAACTCAGGATACGTGGAGCCGAAGATTGTGTGGTCGCGAACAGAGGCTGAGGTCCAAAAGTCGCCTGCTGTATTGCGATGAAATGGATAAAGAGCTGTCGACGTCAACGTCATCAATGTCGAGTAAGTGGTCCTTGATGCACTCACGCGTATTTTCGTCCGCCTCTGAGTACGGTGCAGTTGCAAACGTCGGCCAAGGATTGACGTGGCTTTCGACGAAGCTATCCGGATGAAGGTCTTGCCAGATGGCAAGCAATCGGTCGACGTTGCTGCAATAGTCAACACCCCACTAGAGTAGGTTGCGCGGTACTTACGTATGAAGCAACCAGAAGATGGGATCGAATGCAGAGTACGCCGCATCGTACATGTGACCTCCACGGCCAATGGCATTATGCAAAGTATCATGCACCGACTCCAGACTATTCGGAATTGCGCCTTCGGTGCTCATTTCCACCATGCTGTTACTGACGTCGAGATAATTTGCTTGCATGCCCAGCATCTGGTAAGTCTGCTGCATGAGGTTCACCCGATTGCTGTCCAGAGACTCCGCTACAAGGTCATTCTGGGATTTCGCACTTACGGCCATACTAGCCGGGTGTCTCTTTGTTGAATTCCAGAGTATCCACGGTACACTCTTGAAGTCGTCAACTGGCAAAGGGTGGAAATAGTAAGCGTACAGCGGATTTGGAACAGACATTGTGGTCGTCGACTCCCCACTTGGAACTTCAATCTCGACCGTCTCCTGTTGTACGATCGCGGGGAAGGAGCTCGTGTCCTTGGGCGGTACAGCAGCGGCGTCCCAATACGGCATTCGGAAGGTGCTTAGGGCATTGTACATTCTCTCTTTCGCTTCTCCCACCGGAAACTCCGAGATTGCTTGCTGAGCATGGGAGTAAAGCAGTTCCTTTTAGAGTCAGTGGACCGCATAATTCGCAAGTCCCCTTTCATACTTCTATGAGGCCTAGATAAGGTCTGTGCCAGGTGGGAAACAGGTTGCTGCCATGAGCACAGTAACCGTTGCTTCCGTTCGGATGTTTGCCAACGTCATCCCATGGTATGTAAGGCCGGCCGTGTATACCTGGTGTCGGTTAGTGTGTCGCTATCTGGTTATATGTTGCATATGATAGTGACAGAGCTTACCTGCGATCTGATAGTAAGAGAACTTGTCGTATTGACCTATACTCTGCAGTCGCTGCAGTCCTAGCAGATAGACGTTCAACTGATCTTTCTTCCGCTGCAACTCTCGTATCTCCAATCGAGGATGTATAGTATCGATACCCAGTCCACGAACGCCAAGGATAGGGTGTATCGAGTTCGTTTGTCGTGTTGTTTCACTCTTCCGTGGTACGGCGGTTGAGTACACCAGGCTGCACAAAAGGCAAACGAATGTAAACGACCAGAGCGTTCTGCTGAGCATACTAATCGCCACCAAATATTGGTTGATGCAGTATGGAGAGTGAGTTAATAAGGGCGCGGAAGTTCTGGCGAGATAACGGCATAGAGTTCTGATGGACGTGAGCAGAGTAGGAAGCGGGCTTCCGGATGTGAAACAACGACGTTAATTATGAGCTGATTCTACATTGACAGTATGACTGTTGTACACGCTGCTCATCTGCTTATTCTTTATCGTGCATATGTAGCTAAGCGTGATACCCTTACACTGGTGACCAAGCCTGCGTGGTACTCGACGCGTAAGGACAGAGTCGTAGCAGAACGATTGATTGGGATAGGCTCACAGAGCACGCGAACTGCTTAATGAAATGCTTAACCTCATCGATTGAGAGATAACAGAGGTTAGTCTTATAATGTCACAGGCTCGGTGTGGGAACGAGAAGACACAGCATCGATGTAATAGAAAGTTGTGCGTCTACTCATCCTTTCTCTTGTACACGGCAGTTATGGAAGGTACAGCTTTCATGATCTAGATCTCTGCTATATGGCTGCGACTAGGCAGCGGAATCGGATCCGTTCACTTATTCCGTTGGTGCAGTGGTTGACGGCCGAGCGTTAACTGTACAACACACTAGTCGTAACCTCAACATCCCCATGTTGCGATACAGTGCTGACGACTTAGACCGCATTGGCCGGACACAATGTTGCACCTTCCTATTCAAGTTCACGTGTGGCTGAAGCCATAAGCTGAATAGCAAAAATAGCAAGAGAACATCGCCTCTAGAATTGTGTATATGAAAACTCTCAGGCTGATAGTAAGCCATGGATATGCAAAGAGACGCCGTCGACTCCAAGTCATACAAAACGTAATAGTACAGCCACTAGAATAGTACTCAACACACCAGGACATCGGCTAATCCAGTTCCAAATCCATATTCGCGTACGCATACTATGCGTGGTCACCCTCACCAGTCTCGTCGTGATGCATTTCAGTCCCGTGAAAAGCATCGCCGAACGCCGAATCATCGACAAGGTCCAAGCCCAGGTTGTCATCGTGTCCATAGTCGGCCAGAGCGTCTCCAGCACTATCGATGTTGTCGAAGCTTCCAAAGTCGGCGGTGTCGAACATGCTGCCTGCATCAGCGTCGATGTTGGATTGAGGCATCCCGCCGACATTGTTCGGGCGCTGGTTGTTGCTCATGTTTGGCTGCTGGACACCGCCGGCTGGCTGTTGGGCATTGCCCGACTGGTCGTTCATCGTCCAGTCATCAGTCTTGTCTCCTGCACCCGCCATGCCGGACATTTCTACATCCAGATCCAAAAGATCGGCTCCTACATCAAGGCTCGTATCCTGTTGATCGAATGCCGACGACTGGTTCATGTTGCCGTGTGGTACATTGGGTGTACCGGTGGCGGACTGCGATTGACTCGGCGGTTGCGATAGTCTAGGCAAGGACATGTTGCCGATAGGTGTGCCAGAAAGTGATCCCGACCCATATTGATCCAAGAGGTTCGCGGCAGAGTTGTCTTCCATTGAGCCCTGGTTGTTCATGCCATTCGATGTGCCGTTCGCTTGCTGTTGGGCTCCGTTGCCGTTCATCTGCGCTTTTGGAGGTGAGGGTTGTTGTACTTCAATAAACCCACCCTTGTCTACACAGACAACCGCCTTCTTCTCATCAAACTTAACACCCAGCGACTTCTCCAAATCTTGTACAACTCCTTCGACCGGGTTTGCGTCATCACCGTCGCTCTCGGTGGAGCGAGATAAATCTCGTAGTCGGCGTTCGGCTTTGATGTAGGTCCTGGTGCGCTTCAACTGTGCCACCTTCTTCGCGTGCTCGGCCTTCATCTTGTCAATCTCAGCCTGCTCGTTCTTCGTGTACTCTGCTACACGCTTCTCGAAGTCCTTGAGTTGGTCTGCGTCCAGCTTGTAGTAGTTCTTGATCTGGTAGTTGTCCTTTCCTGGCTCCACGTTCTCAGCTCCCGGGACGTCCAAGATGCCAGCAGTAAGAGGAGCAAGCTCTCCCATGAGGCCTAGGCCTAGATCAATCGGCGCGATCTTTCCAACAGCGTACGGCGATGAGAAGATCTCCTCCATCCACTCGTGATGCTGCTTGTAGCGCGACAAGCTGATCTCGCGCGGAGTGAGGAAATCGAAAGCATCTTGTGTCGCGTTCTCCTCCTCTTCGAGAGTGTTGTCCGGCGCAAGCGCGCCTGCAGCGGGTTGACGGGGTTGAGGTTGTGTCGGCAAGCGCTGGCGTTTGGCTGGCGGAGGTTGTGCAGGATATTGCCTGCCTGGGTACATGGGGTTGTAGCCCTGTGGCTGAGGGCCTCTCATCGCCTGGTGTCCAAACTCGACTTTTGGCCAATTCGCCTGGTCGACCAGCATGAATTCCTTGCGCATCAACGGTCCGGCTTGCTGGAGTTGAGCGCGCATCTGGAACTGAGCCTGGACCTCTCGTGGGACGGGTATTTGGGCGGCGGGCATTCTGCTTTGTGGATCTGCGGGCTTGTAGTGCACAAGCCAGAGATTGGGATCGATGTTTCCAGGGCCTGCGGCGATTCGATAGCGATGGCGCGCGTGCACGGCATATGGTTCGCCGGGGTAGTGGTAGCCACTGTTGTGGACAAGGACTTGAAGAGTCTATATGGTGTTAGGCATTGCGCGCAAATGACGCCTTGGTATACATACGTATCCGCGCACGTTCATATCGTATGCGGTCTCAGCATCAGCCCAAACCATGCCGTCCGAGGCGAACATGGTGCCCATGCGCGGGGGCTGCCATGTGAGGATGACAGTGCCATCTTGGGGAGGGGCTGCAAGGTAGGTCCACGCGACGGGGGACGTGTCGCGCACGATTTGGGGGCCTTTGATGAGGTACTCGAGGGCTTGCGGAGCTTGGAGGCCCGGGAGAGTAGGGAAGCGGTACGAGGATATCAGGTGCACATGGGGAAGGAGGTGGTTCGGCACCTGCGCACTCGGGTCGGGGGCATGGTAGGCTTGGTTCATGCCGTACATGATGGCAGAGATGATGCGACGGGATTACCGCGTCGGTCGGGTGGGTTTGGGTGGTGATGCAGCGGGCGCGAAAGCTGGGGTTGGTTGATGTCTGGAATCTTTGGCGCGTTGGGACCGCGCGACTGCCAAGATGTGGTCATAAGCGGTTAGTGCGGTACTCGGCTCCTACGAACACATGTTCAACTGCAATCACGATCATGGTGTACAAAGGTGTTACTGTCCTGTATGTTAGTGAAAGGTTTATGGCGTATGGTTTCAGAGAAGACTTTGCTCCGTACGCACTAGACAGCTTTATCGAGGATGTTCACCTTGTGCACGCGAGCACCTGGAAGATCCTACCTAGATATCTCAACGTTCCTGTATTGTCGGAGTGCTGAAGCCAGCTTCGAGCACTGTGTCTATCGTCTTCTATTGGAAGTATTTTTGCACAACGCTCCGGTGTTGACCTTTACCTAGGTACTCATTCTGCACAGTTGTGGAAGGGCGGGATTTCTTAGGTTCAATACCAACACTAAAATCAACCAACTATCAGGCACTAATGATACGCCGCTACGAATTACGGAGCGCCAGGATGTGGTCGTATACAGCAAACCTGGATGCAAGGAGGGTGGGAAGACCTTCTCTTGCGAAGACCTTGCATCTTTCCTCTTCAACCTACCAATATCCAGACTACCTAGGTAGACGTCCAACCTCTGCAATGAGCCTACCTGCAACCTATGTGACGTATCTCAGGGGCACCATGAGCTTCTTATGTACGCGAGTAATTGTATGTTTTCTTAGCAAAGCGATAAGAAGCTTCCCCGCCAGTGATGAAGGGAACGAGTGAAATCTTCGCGTGAATTAGCCATCCCAATAAAAGATGCAGCTTTGACTGGCGGCATATTTCGCGAGTCAGCCCCACAAACTTGCATGGTGTTTTCGACGAGAACGGCTAAGTCGATTGAGTGGGGGTAAAATGTCACTGGCCCGTAACACGAATTTTTACCAAAGCCTCGCTCTCAGGGCGTTGAGCCGTGGAATAACGGTATAAACGTTACAATTTGGCGACTTTTCATCAATCACCGATCACCGATCACCGCTCATCGCCCGTTTGGGCGACGGTGAATTCGGCGGTCCTCTTGGCAAAAGAGCAAAATCGGGCTTGTGGTTTAGTGGTATAATACTCCCTTAGCATGGGAGTGGTCCAGGGTTCGATTCCCTGCAAGTCCATCTTTTTGCGCTGCTCTATAGCCCAATAGATGGGTGGGCGCAGGAGAGAGTGGTAAAGATTTGGGATTTTTTGCGTTTTTTTTTGTCAAGAGGGGCAGTACGACTCGTCATTCCACGTAGATGATGCAGCTTCTTTGCTCATAAATTCACCTCTGTGCTCATGTCTGCTGCCATAGTTTGACCATGTTCTTCTTTGGTAATTATTTTAGGGATTTTGGGCGTGTGGTGGTCGCAGGCAGCGTTGGAGATTCCTCATCTCGACCAGCCCTTCCATGGCTTGGTAAAAGCACTGCGACAACAGCTGCGTCTTAACAGCATGACAGATCAGTGTAGTGCATCAGTTTTGAGCACATGCAACAAGAGTGTGTAGACTTCAACATAATTACGACACTCCTACTTAGCAAACAACCCCATAGATCTACCCTTTGAGTCTTTTTAGCAGCTCTAAATCGGGGAAGATGTAATTGTACACACTCCTATGCAACAAAGTACAATCCCGCAAAGACGGTCTTAGTTCACCCTTCGCTCGCAACAATTGCTGTCTCTACTCGACTGTATGTCTGAAGGCATTAATCGTTATATGATCTGGCGAACCCAGTGGCAGGTCAGTGTTCAAAGCTTTGTTAAAGCTACGTATGGCGCTCAACAAAGGAGATGAAGACGCATCCTCAGGATCGCCAGCCGTACGCGAACGGAATTAGTAATTTGGATCATAGTCGTACACGCCAGAAGGTTCCTTGAAGAGAAAGTCAAGCATGCCACGATGCATCTCTGTCTTCTCACTCAATCTCGGAGTTCTCGGCTCCGCACCAACATCCAAAAGCACCAAACCCCACTCTATCGCATGCCGTAATGTGTCAAGACTTATCATCTCAGGGGTACCTTCAATTTCCGCATGTGTGGCTTCCTCTCCATTCTCCTCTGCTGCTTCACTAGCGACTATCCTAGCAACATTTTTAGCGATGGGCACAACCACATCGCGCAGTGTTTCAAGCACTGCCCTTTTGTTATCGCGCTTGAGCGTCTCCGATGAATCCTGTTCGTTGTCGTTGTCGTACCTATAGACGTATGCTTCTGAGGATGTACGTTTGCGAATACAGGTGAAAAGAAAGCGCCAAGCGTGTAGTTGGGGCAGATTTGCTCGGAATTTCACTATAGACTCGGGTTTCCAGTCGTTGATGATCTCGTCAACCGAATCTAGAGCATGGCGGTCTGCTGCACTTGATGCAGGAAGTCTGGACTTGGATTTCCAATCGTTGATGACCTTTGCCAACTCATCTTTAAAGGCGCCAGCGTCGTCCGTCTTGCGCCGTTTCCGTGGTGGTTCAACGGTCTGACCGAGAGCAAACTGTGCCCAAGTATCGCTCTCTTATGGGGTATACGCGAGTGTGAAGTCGTCGACAATGGTGCCTTTTGGCTTCTTTATCTCATCGCCGTACATGCGGTCCAATCTGGCCAATTGATCATCGATGACTTTTCGCAATTTCTTTAGACTTGGGCGACCATCCGGGTTATATCGCAGACATTTCGAAACAATCTCGCACAGACCCACGCTGTATTCTTTGGGAAGCTCCCTCAGACGACTTGGAAAGATCCCTTCCTTCTGGCTGACATTTCCTTTCTTGAGTTCATCATTATACACCCAAGTTTTGCATCTCTCATGGGCTTCGTCGTAGAAGTCAGTACCTTCATTATGAGCGACCATAAGCGCCCAGGCTGTCATGGCTAGACTCCATATATCCGACTTCTCCGAGACAGTCCATCTTTCCGGGAACCAATCCAATTCCTTGAGCGCGGAATGCTCTCGTTCCTGTTAAAAGATGAGTATTGAGAGAACGGGGAGATACAGATAACTTACTGGGGGCTGCATGCCAGGCGTACCGTCATATCTTCTCTCGTCTGTACCCTTCTCACAGGCAATGTCAAAATCAGAAACAACAACGTTCGGATATGCAGGGTACTTGGTATTAGCGGCCTGCAGGAATATGTTCGCATCCTTGATATCGGAGTGCACAATTGCCCGCCATGTCTCTTCTCGGTCTTCGGGTGCTGCATTCGGTGATGAGCAGGTACCATCCCGCAACGCCAGTAGTGCCTCAGTCACTTGGCTGAGAAAGTACCAAATGAAGTGCTCGGGCACAGGTCTCTCTTCTTTCTTATGCCCGTCGTGGATGCGTGCGAGAGTCCCTAGTTCAGCAAACGACGTGTATATGTTGTACAGATGTCCTTCTAAAACCTGGTTTCCTGTATGAGTACGGAGTGTTTTGGTAGATTTCCGGTGACTGTGGCCACGATATGGTATCATATGCGAACAACTGAGGGTACTAATTATCTGGTTCATATGAATCTCGTCCTCGGCGTCCTTCTTCTCTTTGTCTGATATTGCTTCCAGACATTTGACCGTGACGCGCTAGTGATAGGTTAGCACAGCTACCTGGCTATTTTTTTAACCTTGACTCACATCCTCGATGAAGCCAGTGCTGCTGGTACGAACACATAAGTATACGGACTTGCGAGGCATTGTTCCCTGGCTGAAACGCCGTTTGCCATCGTCGAGCCGAGTCTGGTGCAAAGTCATTGCAAACTTCCAACGACCATCGTCATGACTGTAGAAGTCTTTTCTCTGGCCTGCTGTAGGGCCCAAGAAGTGTTTGCGTTTAGGGTCATTCTGAAGGAAAAAGGTAGGCGAACGCTCACCGCTCGAGGCTTCCGATGACGCCACTGACGCATCATCGTTGTTGTCAGGCTGCTGTAATCCAGTTGGTACTGCTACTGCTACTACTGGAGGCGCTGGGTTAGGGGAGCGGCTGGTGGAAGGGCTGGTGGAAGGGCTGGTGGAAGGGCTGGTGGAAGGGCTGGTGGAAGGGCTGGAGCAACAGCGCCTGGCGCAACTGCCGTCGCCGCAGGCTGTCGGCCGTTGTCTGTCTTGCCCAGCCAATGATTCCTCCTTGCGTTCCATAGCCTGCCGATACTCCCCCCTGTGTTTCTTCCGCGAAGGTCTTTTCTCCGGTTAGCGATGACCTTCCGCATGAATGAAAGGAACGCGTTCCTCGTCCTGTCGTTGGTAAATCCATCATAGAGTGCTGCATCATCGGCATCTATGCTGAAGTATGTGTCAAAACCGTTTATGTTGTCTTCTACTCGAGGGCGCCGAGCGTTCGCCATTGCATGTAGAATGTGCTGAGTGCCTTGGAACGTTACGGGGGATTATGTGAGGAGTTGCAAAACAGATTGCGCAAGTCTGCGCTCAAGTGAAATCGCATCTCCATTTCGACAAATAACGTCAAAGCCTCTTGTAATGCTTTGTTGATGGCCTTGAGGTGGTGGTTTGATGCAAAGACAATGGAACTGGGGATGCGGAAGCAAAGAAGGACTCTAGGGGTCTTACTTAGTAAGACGCTTTGTCGCATTTGGCAAGAGTTCCTGTTCAGAAGTAAATTTTAACTTTTATTTTTCATGCAATTGATTTCGTTACCCTTTTAGCGTTCATATCTCCTGCTTCCACTCCTTGTTAAACGCCCGCCCAATAACCATTCTCCTCACCTCACTCGTTCCAGCACCAATCTCATACAACTTGGCATCCCTAAGTATTCTACCAACGGGCACTTCGTTCATGTATCCCATGCCGCCCATCAACTGCACGGCATCAGCCGCGACCTCGCTCGCCCTCTCTGCCGCATACAGGATGGCGCCTGCGCAGTCTTGTGTCTTGATATCGGGACTAGCATGCGACTCATCCACAGCGCGGGCAACACTGTATGTGAACGCCTGACTAGCACGATATTTCGTGTACATATCCGCCAGCTTCCCCTGCACAAGCTGATTATGCGCGATCGGCGTACCAAACTGCTTCCGCTGGTGTGTGTAAGGAAGGACATTGTCAAGCGACGCCTGCATGAGACCCAGCGGCCCTGCCGACAAAACCAGGCGTTCGAGATCCAGGCCTTCCATCAAGACGCGGACGCCGCGGTTGATCTCGCCAAGCACGTTTTGCTTGGGAACGAAGACGTTTTCGAAAACGAGTTCGCCGGTGTTGGAGCCGCGCATACCCAATTTGTCTAGTTTATTCGCGACGCTGAAGCCGGGGGTGGAGGTCTCGAGGATGAAGGCTGTGATGCCCTTGGAGGCGGCGTTGGGTTCGGTTTTGGCGTAGACGACTATTACGTGTGCGTCCGGGCCCTGTGAAGACGGTGTTAGCATATCTTTCCCTTAACAGCCATACATGACAAGGAAGCGTACGTTTGTAATCCACATCTTGGTGCCATTAAGCAGATACCCGCCATCCACCTCCTTCGCCGTACTCTTCATACTAACAACATCACTCCCAGCACTATGCTCACTCATAGCCAGCCCACCAATCTTCTCTCCACTAATCAAACCAGGCAGGTACTTCTTCTTCTGCTCCGCATTCCCGTTCAACATCAACTGGTTGACGCACAATTGGCTGTGTGCCGCGTAACTCAGTCCTATGCTACCGCTCGCCCGCGACAGCTCCTCCATGACGACACAGTGGGCTTGGTAGCCCATTGCCAGTCCGCCAAACTCCTCATCCGCGGTTATGCCTAGCAAACCCGCTTCGCCGAACTTCTGCCACATTTCGTTGGGGAACTCATTTTGTTTGTCCGTGCGTGCCGCGAGCTCTTCGGGGATCTCGCGTTGGGCGAAGTCGCGGACGGAGTCGCGGAGCTCGTCGAGGTCGGATTGCGAGGGGGGTGTGAAGGCTTTGGGGTGCTTGGTCGATGCGTGGCGGGTGGTGGTGGTGGAGAGGATGGCGGCGCGGGGGACGCGTGTTGAGCGGATGCTGCGTGTGAAGAGGCGGGGGGCTAGGGAGGCCATTTTGACTACAATTTGAACTAGAGATTGAAAAAGTAGAAGGGAACTCGACAAGAAAAGTGGTGAGATGTTTGACAATACCGTCGTGGGAGTTCGGTTTGCGACGGCTGATGGACCGAGGCACCTTCCTAACTGATGGATTGCGGAGGACCAGGGTCCGGGGAAGAGGGAAGCGGCGTAATTCCGCTCTCCCTTCCCATCTATCAACAAGCCTCTACACAACCAACGAGCCCTCAAAGGTCCTTGACGCGCTTCATCGCTCTGTCATTACACTCGCCCACATCCAGCGCGACTAAAAACCTGCTCACAGCATTATACGCCGCGACCGTTGCCGTCAACTCCACAACCATGGTATCCTCCAGCACGCCCTTGACCATCTCCGCAACCATATCTTCCACCTGCACACCCACAGTCATCTGATCTGTATAAACCATAACTGCATACTCCTCCTTGCTGAACCCCAACAGCCCCTCCCTCTCCACCATCCCATGTTTTGTAACAGGTAAATCAAAGATAGTCTGAAGTACCTCTTTGGACACGCCTGCTTTCAAGGCTAGAGCGGCATGCACGTCCCACTCGTGGACTGCGTGGTTCAGCACTGCGATGCGACTTATCGCTAGTTCTTTGAGATTGGCTGGTAAGCTGGTTTGCGTGCGGATTGCGCCGATGAATGAGTTCCAGCCGTCTGCTACCGCGGGGTTATGTAGGAGCGCCAGATCGAGTGGGATGAGGGGGCGCGGCTTTCGTCGCTCGGCGATGCGCTCGTATATTGGGCGGGCTTCTTCATTTGGGGGCTCGCTTGGGGCGTAGGGGACGCGCATTTTGGGGATGGCTGTAGTGCTGAAGGGTCGTAGGTGGATGGTGGATGTGATAGGTCGAGTTTGGGAGCGGATGAACTTGGCTAGCCGTGGGCGGAGAAACATTGGATGTGAGGGAGCAAGGAAAGAGGGAGATTATATATCACTCTTGTGCATATGCAGGGACAATCACGGATATACTTTCCGGTATACGGAATAGCGAGGCATGGCACTGGTGAGCAATGCTAGTTGTTCAGATAAGAGTGAGTAAATCAGGTTTTTGGAATATCGTTCGATCAAAGATTCATTCATGCGTAGTTTTCCGTAGATCCCACCATATAAAATATATACATGTTCAACACCACAAAAGACGAACTAATCTACAATCTGCTCTGCTCATCAAAGACATTCGGTAACCTGGGAATGCCTTCCAATCTAGTTGTCTTCTTACCCGCTGGCGCAAGTGTGACATTGTATGTCAAGTCGAGCTTCGCCTTGGGGTCCTTGCTAGGCTCAAAGTCTAGCAGCAGGTCGTCCTTGACGGCAAAGACAGTGTCGTTCGAGACCCATTGGTCGTCGCGGGGGTATAATTGTGTAATGAGCGGCTTATAGTTCTCGGCTGAAACCATGAGATGGATGTGTGCGGGACGGAAGGGGTGGCGGTCAAGAGTCTTGAAGAGTTGGCCAGCGGCGCCTGTTGTGTGTTAGTCTTGCTCATAGGATACTTTCAGATGATAACATACCATCGGTAGGCAGCGAGTACGCTGTTGGCTTGTAGCAGTAGTACCAGTACTCGCCCTTCTCGTTGGTGGTGAACTTTCCGCGCAAGTTGTTGGGCTCCTGGTTCTCGGGATCTTGGAAGTCGTACTTTCCGTTTGCGCTCGCTTGCCAGATGTCGATGACGGCGTTGGGGATGCCCTTCTTGGTGTCGAGATCCATGACTACACCGTGCATGAGAGTCGTCTGGCCATCGGGATGCGGGTTTCGAATGATGGTGTCGCCGAGGTCGCGGAATGGCGAGTGTGGTGACCAGAAGGGGCCGAGGATTGTGGAGGAGGTGGGTGTCTCGCCAGACTCGTTGATGTGCTTGTGTGCGATCTCGTCGACCAATCTGGGTAGAAGTTAGTATGACGTTTGGAATTGCTCAAGGTTCGATGACTTACGATTCTACACCTAGGACATCTGAAATACGATGCGCCTCGTTCCTGGTGGCTGTTGTGGTCTTGCCAATGGAGTTCACAAATCGCACACCCTCAAACCACTCCTCGTTGGTCAGCTCGACCTCGCGGATGAAGTCGTGAAGATGTTTAATCAGCTTGCCCATTACAAAACGCGTCCGGTCTGGCACATTTGGTCCAATAGCGTTGATGACGGCGTCGGTGAAGTTAGGGTCGAAGCGGTGCGAGCCATTCTCCTGAACCTCAGGCGCTGTCTGTGTGTTTGGGTCCATTTTGGATGCGTAGTTATATAGGGAATCAAGGTACAAAGGGTATCAAAAGGCTGGTGAAGGGAAGTAGTGCGGAATAGACATCATGCCTGGGAGGCATGAGCTTAATAAATAGTACCTGAATTCTACCGCCCGCAGCCAACCGAGCCGATACCGTTGACAATGGCCGTCTCTCTAGCCGCGGATCAGGCGAGACCTTGTCAGAGCTGTCTGGCGGCATGCTGTACCGGCTTTCAAGCGTACTATGAGCGCGAGGAGCTACAGTGCCGAAGGCTGCGCCAGGTCGCGACGGCTGCCCCGCCTCGCGCTGGGCGGGTTGGCGAATTAAAAGGGAGCCGATGTGGAAGAAGTCTTACCCGGCCTTTTTCCCTCGCAATCTAGCGTCATCAGCACTAATGCCCCGCCTTCGGCGCAGACCCCGGAAGTCTAGAGACGCGACGCGATGGCTGAATTATCGCAGAGTGGAAGGAGGATTCGGCATACATCCCAGAGTGACAGCTTTTGCTGCGAGCTGTTTGTTTACACGAAAGACACGTTCCGTGCAAGGAAGCAACCACCAACATGGTCAAGCATCACCTCATGGTCGGCACTTGGACGCCGCCGGGTGTGATCATCACAGTCGCATTCGATGATGAAACATTGAAGCTGGAGTTGGTGAAGAAGACGGAGATCCCAGAGGATGAGCCCATAAGCTGGATGGCTTTCGACGTATGCGCGCAATTTCTGGACCTCGATGCGACCAACGATTGCTGATGACCAGGATAACAGCACAAGAGAAAGAACATCTACGGTGCTTCTATGAAGAAATGGAGCTCGCACGAGGTCAAGAGCCCGAGTGAGATTGTACACACAGGAAGCTTTCCCATGGGCGGACATCGTAAGCGACACAACATCAACGCAGGTCGCTGTTACTGACAAGCTCCACAGCCAAAGCAAATGATGCAGACACCAAGACGCGTGCGATCTTCCTGCTTCCCGCCCAGAAGCCTCCGTATGCCGTATACTGCAACCCTTTCTACGACTATGCTGGCTACGGCAACATCTTCTCAGTCAATCCCGAAGGTCACATCAAAGAGAACATCCAGAACTTCGAATACTGCGACAAGACTGCCATCCACGGTATGGTCTTCGACCCCTCAGAGACCTATCTCTACAGCGCGGACATGTGGGCAAATCGGGTCTGGTGCCACAAGAAGATAGATGACGAGGGAAGGCTTGAAACAGTAGGCTTTACTGAGGCGCCCGCACCGAAAGACCATCCTAGATGGGTAGAGATGCATCCATCAGGAAACTATCTATATGCCTTGATGGAGGCAGGCAATCGGTTGTGCGAGTACGTGATTGATCCGCAAACCAAGCTCCCCGTCTACACCCACAAGACGTACCCATTGATCCCACCTGGTAAGTCGACCTCCTACTCCCGGCTATCCCAGTCACTAACTATTGCGCTCAGGTATCCCCAATGCAACCACGATGTACCGTTCCGACGTTTGCTTCCTCACCAAATCCTCAAACTACCTCTTCGCAACCTCCCGATCCAACTCCTTCTCTCTTACTGGTTACATTGCCGCATTCAAGATCGCTCCCTCAGGCGCTATCGAGCGACAAATTTGCCTCAATCCTACACCGACGTCTGGCGGCCATTCGAACGCAGTATCGCCGTGTCCTTGGTCCGATGAGTGGTTAGCGCTTACGGATGATGAAAAGGGTGGCGTGGAGATCTATAGATGGCAGGATGAATTTCTAGCAAGAGTTGCGAGATTGGAAATTGGTGAGAAAGGCTTTGGTATGAATGCTATTTGGTACGACTAGACCGATACACAATACTGGGGCATAGAGGATGCGTGGGTAGCATCAAGAGAATTACCATCACAAAAACTTCATCTCCAGCGTCCTAGCATGATTTCTGATGTGGGTGAGTACCGCATGCATTGATGGTCCTCCACGTCCCGAAGCGTCGCGTACACGCGTGGTAGCGGCGGGTCTGTGTTCAGCCTCGGAAGAATGAGGGGCAGCGGTGCCGCCGTCGCCCGAACTAACGCCAGCCGGCAGATGCCATCGGGGGAGCTCTTCTTTCCCCAACTTCGTCATGGCCTGCACGAGATAATTTGAGTAGTATAGTCGCAACCATCGAATCTAATCGTTTTCCAATCTTGCATTTCCACCCAGTCGTCTCTCATCTACCTGCGACATTTACACTAAAGTTCACAGCTACCCCATACGATAGGAACCATGGCAGCCAAATCAACCCCAGGCATTTTGTACGTGACGATGCAGCCCAAGGAGGGCTTGCCTGAAGCACAGTTTCACGATTGGTAAGTTGACCCCTCCGCAGTCGCATCCTTGCCACTTCACGATCACACCTGACACTCTTCCCTCCAAGGTACCAGAACGAACACGGCCCTAATCGTCTGCGCCTTCCCTTTTGTAACAATGGCTTCCGCTATCGCGCCACGGATCTCGAGAGCGCGCCCGGGTCTAAAGACAAGCCAGAATGGATGGCCATCTACGATTTTGACGAACTCGAGTGGCTCACTAGGGAACCGTATACGAAGCTTCGAAGCGCACCGGTGCAGTCGCAACGAGAACGCGACACTATGAAGCAGATCTTCGTTGACAGGCGATCGTACGATCTCCTCGGAGAGTGGAAGGGTGGTGACTTCAAGGACTTGCAGAAAGTTGAAAACGAGGGAGAGAAGAACGTCATGATTGCCGTGAGCTTTGCGCTGCATGAGGGCGCAGACAAGGAAGAGGAGTTGAAGAAGTGGTACGATGAGGAGCATGTGCCTCTTCTGCAAAAGGTACCCGGCTGGAGGAGGACAAGGAGATTCGTAACATCATACCTAGATCTGGAGAGCGGACACAAGACCGAGAAAGAGTACCTCGCGCTGCACGAATACGCGCCGCAGAATGGGCTGGGAGGACCTGAGTTCAAGGCTGCCACTACGACGCAGTGGTGCGATAAGATCTACCAGGATGTCGTAAAAGACAGGAAGAGGAGGGTGTACGATCTCTACTACACCTTTGGTGCTGCACAGCGCGACCTCCAAAGTCTGGCGAGCAAAGACACAGTACCAGCAGAGAGTTCAGAAGGCATGGTCAAGACACATCCTGCGCACACCACACCAGAGAAGCGACCAGTAATCGAGAGCTTCGTCACAACAAAAGACGGCGTGCAACTGCCGTACCGCCTCGAAGGCTCCAGCGACCCCAACGCGCCTCTGCTCGTCCTCTCAAACAGTATACTTGTCGACTACGGTATCTGGGACGAATTCGTAGCCGAGTTCACAAAAGCCACAAACAACAAGTACCGCATCCTCCGATACAGCACCCGAGGCCGCAACACACTTCCATCGAATACCACATCGCCCATCACAGTGCATACACTTACAGACGACGTCATCGCTCTCCTCGACGCCCTGCGAGTGAAGAAAGCATCCATCGTCGGTGTCTCCCTCGGCGGCGCAACAGCACTCAACGCAGGCCTCTCCTACCCGGACCGCATCTCCGCCTTCATAGGCTGCGACACCAACGCCTTCGCGCCCCCATCCAACGCAAATGCCTGGAACGACCGAGTCGCCGTTGCTGAGAAAGAAGGTCTAACAGCCTCCTCCGGCGAGCCCATTGTCGGCGAAGAACTCGCAGAAGTGACGGTGCGCCGCTGGTTCGTCAAAGAGTCCTACGACGATGCGGAGCTGGCGAAGAAGATTCAGCGCGTAAAGGACATGGTTAAGACGAATTCACTGGCTGGGTTTAGAGACTCGGTCAAAGCATTGCATCAGTATGATATTAGGGAGAAGATGGCGGGGTATAAGGGCAAAGGTGCATTCTTGGTGGGTGCGGGGGATGGGGTGTTGCCTAAGACTATGAAAGAGAATATGGCGGATAAGTTGGGAGGTGGGGTTGAGCTTAAGGTTGTTGAGGGGGCGGGACATTTGCCCATGGTGGAGAGGCCGGCGGAGGTTGCGCAGTTTGTTGCGAATTTTTTGGATGGTTAGAGATGTGCATTTCGATAAGTAGAGGATCGTGACAAGTACTCATCTATCTCTATCTCAAGTTAGCTGGGGGCTTTGGCTTCTTGGGATCCTCACCTGGGCAACGCCGACTAACCGTGAACAGACTAGCTCAGTAGAACCACCGAGACATGAGACTTATATCCTCGCCTTCCGAGATCGCGTGCCCGCCATCTCCGCATCCTCTTTCCACCACTGCATTCTTCGTTCAAGACGCTTTCATTCAATTCCAGATCAGTAACAAACTTGTTCTTTCATGGGCCCCAGCCATTAGCCAACAAGACCTATTGCAGGTACTGAGGCCTTAGAAGCTACAATGTCGAATCGCGTCCGAAATGGCCGTATCGGCAAACGAAAGTCTCCCGAAAAGAAGCACAACCCCAATCTTACTCAACTATACTTCTTCAAACCCACTGCGGACAACCGGCGTTTACGCCCTTTCAACAAGACGCCCTACAAGCTTGACTTCTCCGTTCATCAGGGCCTTACCCTCGACGAGGTCGCCTGCAGGAGAGTGGGTGGCCCTGAATTTATCATCTGGGATATCCTTGGCGGAACTTTCGATTTGGCCAGTCGTCCTGACCTTGTTATCGCCCTACGCTCGCTTCCTCACATCTGGTACATAGATGAGAACTTCATGAATATCGATGTAGGGCTCGCCAGACGAGGGTTTAAAAAGGAGACCATTCCCGGGTCGCACTATAAGCTCTCCTGGCGTAGCGATCCCAGTCAGGTGATATTGTCGGCTGACAAGACCCCATTCGACCACTTTATAGAGATGGAATCGCCTCACGATGTAGAGAACTGGACAATGAGGACAGAGGAGGTTACTTTCGATGCGGAGCCTCTCGCTGCTCTGCTACCTCAAGCAGCCAATACGGAACAGGGAAGGGGCTGGGACGTATATCCGATACGCCTGTCTTTTTATGGAGTGCCAGTTCGACTTGAACGCCTGTTCATTGATGACCCAGAGAAGAAAGCGACTTATCTCACTATTTCACCCGCCGGTATCACTACAAGCCCAAACGGTCATCCTCTGAGACGACAACGATGCTTCCTGTATGTCACTATGAAGCTCGATGAGGAGGGCAAAGAGGAGGGTTGGGCAGAAAAGATGCTGGGCCTACCATTCCACTTCTCCGGCGCTTTATACAGCACCGACACCGTCGACTTGGTGGAGACCCGTTTTGAGAAAGTCGACGACGAGGCTGTCATCAGGAAGGGCCTCCGCTTCGAGTTAAGGGGCACTGTTGACAGTATCGACGAAGCCAAAATAACCGTCAAACCAGATTGGTTGGATCGCCGAGCTTTGGAAAATGAAGACAACCGGGAAACTATGCATGTGATCCTGCAGAAGGATGTTGAAGTACCGGTGGTTGGGGAGAAGTACCTGATTAAAGGCATCATTCCGCCACCTTATCGCGATCAGTGGGGGAGTAGGTTCGATTTGGAGAATAGCAAGCTACCGGATGGAGTTTGGAAGGCTTTTGCGTTTGATCGCATTACCGAGTAAACTATCATCATCACATGCTTTCCACGGTGTTTTCCAAGGATGTGCCAAGGCCAAGGTTTCTTCTCATCAGGTAAACCATCAATGTATCGCCTGGAATGCTACTAGTGATAACAAGAATACCATAAAAGACTTTTCAGCCCGTTCAAGAGTTGGTTCGATATCTCCTAGTCTTGGTCGACCTCATCAGCGCGAGCGATTGGTAGTCGAGGTTTGGGTGACGCTATTGACGCTATCTTCTTGGGTCCAGACTGCGCACCTACCTAGACATGATGTAAGTAACCTTGATTCCGATCAAGTACTCACTACCTTCTTACGAAAATTCCCCTCTTCAATAGAATAAAGCCTGGTCGTTATCAGGAAGTATTTGCTCTATAACATCGACGGGCTGCAACAGTGTCCCAGCTGCCTCACTGTACGACCACTACTCTCTAAAAAATATCTCTTCAACATACCCGGTTCTGTTTCTTCCAGTATCACGAGAGATGACAAGTCGCATTCAAGATGCTCGCGTTGTGAAGTCTCCACACAAATCACGCCGGCAAACTCAGTCACTTCGGAGGAACACCTCTACTTCTCTTCAGAAAGCCTACACCTTCCACCCTACGGAACTGAACAGGCGCATTGTCCCGGAAAATAAAGCCCCGTATCGCTTCAACTTTGGCCCATGGTGCGGCTCCACAATTGAGGATCTTGTCTACTATGGGCCACAACAGTATGCTGGCAAGAGGTATCTACTCACCTTTATCTTGAGCGAGAAGTTCGACTTGAAAAGTAAAGTCGACCTCATCACGGCTTTTCGCTCGCTCGGTATTTCGTTCTATCAGGATTTATTTTGCGTCGGACAGAAGATGACAGAGCGAGGATTTACGCGGACATGGAGACACGGCTCACACTACTACTCCCAGCAGTGGGAAGAAGATAAGGCAGTGCTTTTATCGTGCGACGAGACGCAATATGATCAGTTCATCCATGTGTCTGGACCCCGACCTTCGGATTGGGACAGAGCGGAAAATGCTACGTTCGGTGGCGGTCAAAGAAGGCCTAATGTCACTCTCGACGCAGCCGCATTCAACGAAACGATTTTCAGTGATCTGGATGAGGCTGAGCGAGAGAACTTGGCGCAATTCCCGGTGCACATCTCTTTCCACGGCATGCCCATCAGGTTGGAGCGGCTGTTTATCGACAACCCAGAAAAGAAAGCCACATATCTTACTATAGCGCCACTTGGCTTCGATGGCTCTTCCGGTGGACAGGACATCTATATAACGATGCGTCTCAACGAACAGGGTCAAGACGAAGATTGGGCAGAGAAACTTCTGGGCATACCCCATCACTTCTTCGGCGCCTACGTTAATAGCAAGACAGAGGATCTTGCGTGTGCGAAGATCAAGCCTATCCGAGCGAGCGAAATCAAGGGCGGATTTCGCTTCGAAGCCCGTGGTAACGTCGTGCCATCGAAAGAGGAGCCTACACGCATCGAGTTAGATTGGGGAAATTACTCGATAATTCGAAAGTGTCGGGCGATCGAGAGTCTTCAGTTGGAATACTCAGAAGAAGGATTGGGTCTTCCAGATGGTCCATGCCATATTCGGGGTGTGATCACGCTACGCGACAACCAGAAGTTCAAATGGAGGGAGGAGCGTCTCGAGGATGCGGTATGGAGGTGCTGTGCTTTCGAACTCGAGAGAACGAAATGAAAACCGAGCTCTTGTAGCGCACTGAGATGTCATTTTCGCGGTATCAATATCAACACTTACCTTCAAAACTACTCCTACCCTCTATCCTCTCTCCCATCCAACCAACTAGTACAATTCACACACCTCTTAGCCTTCTCACTGATATACTTTCTGCAAAACCGGCACTTGACCTGCTTCTTGACGATGTTATCCCCGCTGCCCCTCGAGTACGCCAGCGCCACCACCCAAAGCGCCAATGCAACGACCAGGAACCTGACAATCTTGTCCAAGAACTCGCCGTAAGCTAGTACGACGGCGCCATCGTCAACAGCCTGCTTAGGGGTATTGTAGCCATTGGATATGGTGGTGTTGTAGTTAGGTCCGGATTGTAAAATCGCGAATTTGGCGTCGAGGTTGCGGGAGAGGAAGGGGAGGAGCGAGATTATGGGGAGGATGATGGAGGAGACGAGGGAGTTTGCGATGGCGGTGAAGGATGCTGCAAGGCTGGGTTGCGAGTAAGTATGGGTTATTTACGTGTATTTTGTTATAGAAATGTACTTACATCAGTCCGACGGCTACTTCGAGCACGTTGTCGCGTAGGGCGAAGTTGCTGAAGCTGTCCCAGGCACTCGCGGTTCGCCTTCGGATCCCCTGTTCTGCATCGCGCAGGGTTTGGTGTGTGTTTTCATCTAAGCGCGGCATGATGGTACTGTAGGATGTTGAGATGATAGGGTAGGGTGTCACGATGTGTAAGGATGTGATGCATGGGTGGAAGCTGGAGTCGCGTCTCAGGTGACGACGTCATTCCGGCCGACGCGTAGTGCGCGTAACCTTGGAAGATCTGCACTAATCACGCGCATGAGGAGTGCTTGTACGAGTACACCTACTAGTCACATTGGCATGTTCGAAGCATACAATTGCCATCGGATGTGTGTATCAACACTGACTGTAAATCGCATTCACCCTTTGTTCAACGTGGCGATGTGATCGTCTCCAATGACCATCTCCACTCCAACGCCTCCCGAAACCCAGTCTACTCCACGCGTAAGCTTCCCCAGGCTGTGGTCCACTTAGCGAGACGCCAGATAGATCGGCTTTCCTTATTATCATTGCCCTGCGTCGCAGACAGCCAGGCGGCTGCAGCGCTGCGCACGACATATCCAGATCCTTCGACATGACGACTTCTTGCACATCATGCCATGCACACAGCGAACACCAAATCCTTCACGATCTCGATCGCGAACAGGCGCAGCACACCCAACCTCTCATTCATCTTATCCAGCCACCAATCCGCACCGTGGGTCTCCGAATGCCGACCCCACAGAGTCGGCCCTTCTATACAGGAAGCCACTCTTCTCCCGAAGACAGGCCACATGCCCAACCCCACACCCCACCCCACCGTCGTAACGAGGAAACCACCAAAAAAGATTTAGACCCCGCCTGTCGCAATCACAATCACGCCAGGCAGCCTCATGATTCAGTACCATCGTCAACTATGCCGACCCCGGATCAAAGCACTCCGCCGCCTATCTCGCGCCGCGTGACCCTTTGCGCACGCCATAGTAAGATCGCCGTCCTATCTGTAAGGGTCAAAAGGGTACATCGTCCAAAACGCAGGGTCTTGCCATCCGAAGCGGATGGAAAAGCGTGGACATGACAAGTGGTCACGATATATCAGGTCATGTTACAGCAACTTTGGGAAAGGTAAGCTGTGTACATGTGTAGATCTCTTCGCGTAAAGTACACCAAAAAAAAGATGCGCGGTGCAAAACACCCTTTTCCTGCGATAATGTCGG